AATTGAAAAGTAGAACATAAAATTAAAAGCTTGTGAGCGTAAATTGGATAAATTGGAACGTATTTGCCCTGTCCAGATACATTGACGTTGATATTGGTATCTTTAAATTGCTCCGGGCAATTGGTATTTCCAATTTATTTATGGACTGCTCCATATATTACTCTGACTAACAGATGTCTGTTCGATCTCCGTTCTATTAAAAAGAATGAACAAAAAGTTGAGTCGAAACTTGATACGAGACACAAGGGAGTTACACGGCTTTGTGCCAAATGTCCAAGTGACTGACATAAATGCTTTAGGAATGCTTTTGAAATTTAAAAAGACATCTTTTCCCAGAAATGCTTCTAGTAAAACAGAAGGTTAAAAACCATTATCTGACACTTCTTAAATACATTTTGTTTTATTAAACAAAAACAAATAAATTAAAACAATTATTTAACGCTTAACATAGCACAGTTTATGTACAATTGCAGCAATAGAACTAAAGCTAATCTGTCCTAACAAAAAACTGTGTACTTTCTATGTAATATAAAATGTAGTAATATAGATAAGTTCCATACAAAAGTATTGAACTACAAACAAATTACTATTTCGTTATCGAACTAAGGTACCAGGTACTCAAATGACGACGCTATAAACTTTAATGTGTCACAATTACAGGCACAACGTACGAAGATGATATTGTCTAGACCTGGCGCAGCTCCAAACTAAGAACTAACTTACACCTCACGACCTGATTGTGTCTTTCATTGAACAATTTGTAGACATTACGACCAATCTCCCCTTATTGAAGTTCGCAATCTAGTTTTCAACATTTGGGATCGTGTGATTACGTTTCATTCGACGCTAGCTAGTTTATTGAAGTAAAAATATAGAAAGAAAAAGATATTTTCCATTTATTTATACTAGCGGTCGCCTGCGCCTCCGTCCGCGCGAAATTAAGAAGAAACTTAATAAGTAGCCTATATATTCTTCCAGACTACATTCGATATGTATGCCAAATGTTACCAAAATTCGTTGAGCCGTTCCGGAGATACCTACGTACAAAGATCCATCCATCTAAACTTTCTCATTTATAATATTAGTATGATATTATGTATACACCCATAATAGGATATAAGAGATGCATTTACTCAAAATATGTACTCAGTAGAAATGTCTACAAACGTAAAAAGCTTACATTTTTGGCATTACCATTTTTCTTCAAAAGTAAAAATCTTTACCTTCCTAAATCCGAACATCATAGTCAAAGACAACGATGGTTTTAAGTTGTCGGAATCAATTTTACACTCGAGCGCATTTTCACAAAGCGACAGCTGTTAAGCGAGTCGTTAGGAAAACCCTTTGATTTGTGTCGGCCGGGATTTCATTTACTTCCCTAGATTTGTTGATAATCTAAAATATTTCTTTTAAACTTACAAGACTGACAATAATGTATTTGTCTATAAAATTGAGTATAAAAAACGTCACAAAAAATTGAAAATTGTTTAAATTCAAATATTACTACTTACTAAGTACTATCTTACTAATATTATAAATTAGAATGTTTAGATGGATGGATGTATATATGTTTGTTTAAAGGTAACTATGGAACGGCTCAACTGATCTTGCTGAAAATTGGTATAGCGGTAGAACATAGTCTGGAAGAACACATTAAGTTTTTTTTTTAATTCCGCCCGAACAGAGTTGCGGGAGACAGCTAGTAGAGACATAAATAATGTGAGTGTTTAGCCGTGTTTATATAACAGTTTAGTATAATGTCTCACGAAAGTTTGAATAATTTAATAGTATGTAGGTAATTACGAATGAGAGGTAAAGACGTGAATAGCCTCCAATATATTATTCTTGTATTTAGTAGCATATTTGAATAAATATTCAATAAATAACTGTTGGATTATTGTGATCAAATAACGATTATTCATATGACATTGCTAAAACATATATAAATCAAGCGTGCCTTGGTAACGTGGTGACATGATTTATGACTACATTAAGATACTATATTTATCATTCTTACTATGTTTAGAGAGCGTCGGTGGCTCAGGGGTCAAGCACTTGACTTGCAATCTGCAGGTCCTGGGTTCGAATCCCGCCATGTACTAACGTGTTTTTCGATTTCCGATTTCCATATGTACATTTATCCGACGTTCTTACGGTGAAGGAAAACATTGCGATGCAACCTGCACATATCTGAGAAGAAATTCGAAGATATGTATGAAGTCAACCAACCCGCACTTGGCCAGCGTGGTTGACTATGGCCTAGGCACCCCTAACTTAGGGTAGGCTCCGACCCCTCGGTGGGTACATTTAGTGAGCTGATAATGATGACTATATGTTTAGTTCTTTGTCAGCTTACATTTGTTATCTATTTAATACTAAATATTTAACACCTTAGTTTATGTATTGGAAATTATTTTTATGTTAACGGCTTTTTTGATTCATGGAATAAATAATTTGCAAATTTTTAAAAAAAGCTGTCTGTGCAAATTTATTTTAAAAATATGTACTAACTTAATTTTAAACTTTATTGTTAGCTTAAAGATTTACTATAAAGCTTTGATAGACATCGTATAACGTAGTAAACAATGTGAAAAGGCGTCGACGATGGCTGGCGCATTTCCAGCGCAAAGTTTTCCACTTTAGGACCTGATTGCACGTCGGTTATTGAGCAATTTGTTGAAAATTATGCTCCTCGGAACTTACTTTAAATTACACTTCTTAACGTAGTTTCAAACTAACGTACGAGTATATGAACTTTTAACTAAGAATTACTGCTTCTTATAGTATTGCGCAATAAAAATAATATAACTTAATATTAATTAATTCTGTACGAATCACAAATTGTGGATTTACTTACTGTTACTTTTTAATTCATACGCATCAAAGCCGTGCATCTTTCTTGATATAATTATGAAATTGGATATTTATTTATGATCTTTTTATCGTGAAGAATATTGTATGAAAACAACATTTATCTATTTACTTAGTAATAAAGCATAACAGTACATAAAAAGGTAAAAATAAGGCAATCTCATAAAACTAATTCGTAAGCTGACTACTTCTGCCATCTAGTTGTGTACTAACGAAACTTTGGCATCAAATCGCATTAAATGTGAAATTCTCTCAGGAACATATAATAGAAATCCTTAATACCATTGTATACAAATTAGAGTAGAAATGTCCAAGAAGTGATAAATTAGAAATAATATCATTACTAATGGAGACAACCAGATGCTCATTAATAAAGTACCAAACAGTTTCAATTTTTTTTTTGCACACAGTACAATCAGGGAAATTTTTGTGTGCTTTAATTTAATAGTAGTTTAACAATGAATTACGGGGTTGTTACGTAAGCGAGGAACGATTTAACAGCGAAGCGTGACCGTGCTAACGAGCGACGTCCGAACAACGCGGGAAATGATAACGACCTGTATACGTGCTGTATCGCAGAGTACATTCAGCAGAGTCAGAATCGCCATCTAGACAATTACAGGATAATTTAATTGATATTTGATCGAGTAATAAGGTATACAAGTTCCAAACTGGAGACACTCAAACTTCATATCGGCTCGAATAATGCACAAAGGTTTTGCATTTAATAACGTAATTGGCTTGCAGTTAGAAGCGATAATTAGAAGCGTATCATCACCTATAACTACACCTGGATATATATTAATGAAGTTTCATTTCATTGAAAACATAAAACCAAAATGAATGATGAAAATGAATTAATTAATGAAGTCACAAAGTTAATTTTCCCTTTTCTGTCTTTGTGATGAAGTCGGAAATACTATTAAGATGGTACTAAGTCAAAAACTTAACTTAAAACTTGTAGTTCTCGAAGGAATGAAAACTTAAAGTTACTTTAAAACTGTGTACTCTTCTGTAGAATAATGATGAATAGTACTGTGCATAAACTTAAAATGTTGGCAAATTGACGTTGTAGAATAATTTACTGAAAACTCCCTTAATAAAACTATACATTTTGATAATAAAATAATTATCATTATGAATTTATAGACTAGAAATAAGGCCTTAAAGAACCTTTTGTTGTATGAAATTCCCCCAGAACTGTCATTTGCAATACAAAAGGATAGACTTCAAGCTTGTATAAATCACTTCATCTATCTCTGTTTAGATAGATAGATGTATGTTTGTTGAAAGGTACTTCTTAAACTGCTCAACGGATCTTAATCAAATTTAACATAGATGTAGAACATAGTTTAAAAGAACACATAGGATACTTATTAGGTTTTTTTCCGTGCGATTAGAGTCGCGGACGACAGCTAGTAGATTATATATCTATGACCTTTACTTTTGTACTTTATTTATTATGTCACAGTTGGCTTTTAATCCACCGGCATTACTTGCATTGTTATGTCAAGGGCGGTAGGTTATTATTACACATACTTAGGTTAATATTATTATAATATGCTGCCTGTATTAAACTGATTACATCAATAACAACAATAGAAACGCCTCGATCATTTGAATAAAGCATTGAACAATAAAATAATCATGTATCATATATTCTATGCGTGTTTTATTGCAAGTAACGAAACACAAAGCAGATAATAAAACATTTATAGATAGTCTCAAAGATATAGGAACTATGACATAATTTGACCCTCAAGTGATATGTTATAGCTATGTTAATATTATAGTTTTAATAGTCCTACATTTATTTTAAGAGTCGATATGAAATACGAATATAATAATTATTAATCGATGTTTCATTTTCGCCTTTACAGAAACAAGTAAATTATGAAATAGTTAAATAAGTAAATTACCTTTTTACGATACAAAATACACATATCCATCAATTATCGATTATCCAAGTAAATAAATACAAAATAAATTTATTAGTTTTAGTATAGTAATTTAGTTGATTAGTTTTAAAGGTTGAATCGTTGTATCAACATCACAAAAGTCTACATATGGTGTAGTAGTCAGTGCTTTACATTTACCCTAATTTAAAATAAATATGTCACTGCTTTTAGGATGTGATTCGTCTGGAAACACAATACTGGTCTCTAGTTGAGATCCCGAAACAAGAGAAAGCGGAGACGGTACCGGCGTTCGTGCTCCGCGCCTGCGCTATCATGGAGAAGACGCAGAAGTCAGGAGAAGGAGTCAAAACTTCCACTAAACTTGCTGAAGAAGCCGCAGACCGCAAAGAGAGAATAGAGAGATTGAATGGTAAGTACACGCCTTATAAATATTTGATTCTATCACAGCAAATTTACGAAGATGAAGCAATTTAATTAGTACATTTTAAGTTCGGCAACGCAAATACGGACGGCTACAGGTCGCTGTACGGTGGCGCTGTTTGGATTGTATAGTTGTTTTAAAATGCTAATATGTAAAATTCCAGATATGACAACATCTCAAATAGAGACGGAGAACACGCAGATGACTAACGATCTCTATCGTCTGCTCAAGAAGTACACCGGACTGAGGAACCTCATCAGAGAATTGAAGGTGAGAAATATTACTAAGTTTGTTAAATAACTTCCTGACTTGTTTTGTTGGTACCTCGTGTGTCGATTTTATGTTTATAAAATTTTAGTTTACTTTCTATCGATAATACATGTTCATTGTTCCCTCCAAGAACATTTGTGTAACGTAAAATATGTATGTAAAACGTTGTATTTAAAATGTGATGTTTGTCTGAAGTCCTTTGTTGCTATTGCGTCGTAACTTAAAGAAAAACTTGTTCTAATTTCAGTCGGAGTACGTGAGCTCCAAAGTGTATCCGATGTTCCCACGATACACGATGCTGAAGGACATGATCAAGGATATCATGCACGACCCCGACTACATGGAGGTCTGCCATGAGGTGGACCCGTAGCGCGGGGTCCGCAAATAGTTGAGAAGCTCTTTCACCGACCGCCGGAGGTCGAGTCGCCGCTAGCGAGCCCAACGGGGACGTAGACGTAGGGGGTTTAACCCTCATACTCTGACTACGTTTATGTCAGTGGCTACAATTTCTATGCTTGATGTTTCGCCCGGTATTCGCTTTACTGTGCTTAAATAAATGCTAATAGGATTAGAATCACTGTGTTGAAACGTTGGTACTCCTTAGTGCTTTAACAAATATTAAGAATTTTAGGAAATCTAATTAAAATATTATTTGTAAAAGAACTTTTCTTGGAATTCAGTTTACTTTTTTGTTTTCTTTTTAATTGTAGTGTTCCGAGTCTTCAGAATATGGTGTAAACATCAAGCAAAAGAAAACTATAGACAGCGGTGTTTAGTGAGACGAGTATTCATATTATTTGCGCTCAGTTATTATACGGACATTGATTATAGTGTTAAGATGTGATTTTACTTAATTCAACAAAGTACTCGTCCTTAAAGTGTTGCTTAATTTTTATAATTTGCAATTCGTGATGGTTTCCTAAACTTTATTTTAATACAATAGTCTAAAATAAATCGTAGTAACCTATTATTTTAATTTATCTAGTTCAGTAGTTATAAATTAGTAGTGTACAGTAGTAATATTAATATTAGTTGCAATAACTCGTTAATAAATTATGTTAAATAGTAGATAACGTTAGCTTTTTTGCATCTTCGTCTATTCTATATTAAGCTATTATTTACTACTAGTGTTTAGAACTATTGCTTATGCACTTAATAACTATTTAAATTCTAAATCAACATATCTCTAATGTATTTAACTAAACATATCTTCTCTTATATACTATGCTTCAATGTGTATTTCACGTAATTGTATAAATGTGCAGGTTATGAAAAATGCCAATGTATGTGTTCAAATGTGAATTAGTGTGTGAACTTGTTAAATTTAATATTTATATTTCCTAATGTTTACATATAATTTCTAATATCTTATACATTTATTTATCATATTTTTAATATATCATTCATATCCAAAAAAATTTACAAAACACATTATATTAAAAATAGAACACCACCGGCTGCGGAATCCCATGACTCAAACAACCAGTGGTCAGTGCTGCAGAGACAGGAACCTTCTCACGATGCGCGCGGTTTCTAGGATAACTGCATTTTGTATCGGGCCCTTAATCCAACTGCGTAGCGACAACTTCTTGAGATGTTGGTCGAAGCTCTTCGCTATCAGTCCATTTAGATACGACTATCGGAATAATAGTCGGTAGTCGATTTCATACGCCACATGGCGGTAACCTCGTGAGCCAAATCTAGGTATACTTTAACACTTAATTTCTTATATTATTGATATAATTAAATTTTAGAAGAATATTTCTGTTTTTATGAATTTTTATTATTATGATAATTGTCTTACTTTTACATTACATTCTTTTATTATAGTAATTAATAATTAATTTATAATAGTAATTAATAATTATTTTATTGTCATTTTTATTTTTAATTTTTAGTTAACTCTTTGTATTTTGTTTTGTTCGATAAAAAGAATAATTTGTCTTTATATAATATATTGTTTAAGAAGGTACCATTGATACTGTTTATGTGACATGGAAGAGCGGGACTTCCAATCACAAGCACGTTATGGATGCTTCAATGGAAATCCCGGCACAAATGTTTGTATGTACCATTTTTGTTTAAGCAAATTTTTCATTTTCATTTTCATTGTCGAAAATTATTACATATCTTTTGACATTTAGAATGTTGTTAGATTTATCATTATAATCTTTATTAATAAATTAATCCATAGAAATAATTATTTATTATTGTAGATATATGTTAAAAAATACGTAGTTATAAATGTGTTTACCAATTGGTCGTTAATGTTATAGATATTAAGTATTTAAAAATTTAAAAATGAAAGCGTATAGTGAGGATTTTAGGTTAGAAAAAGTCAAGTTTTAAAAAATAAATTAGAAATTAAACGGAAATATTTTGGAAAATAATATTCATGAACATAACGTACCAAGCTCAAAGGATAAGAAAATCAGGACTTAGTCGCTTTGAGCACTGCACTGCCATCCCCCTGGAGAAGCTCATTGGCTTCATGAGAAAAAAGGATATGTCGAGAAACATTGATGTTGATAATATTGATAAAAATATTATTAAATATTGTAAGGAAAAAATCATTTTCATAAATATTTTCCAATCTATAAAGTTTAGCGTGAAAATACAGTTCACTCTTTGTTTACAATGACAAATTGTTTATTATAAATATTCGTTGACATAAATGTAACATTTTTGGAGTATTTTATTATGAAACAAAATACTGCCACTAGAATAAGTTTTAGGATATCAATATTATTGTAATACATATATGTAATCATGATATAATAGTAAATAAGTACATAACATAGCTTGACATTATGAATTTACGCTTCACTAATATTAGTCTATGTACCTATGTAACTTTTATTTACAGCTTAGAGTTGTATAATTTACCTATGAATTATTTATAACTTGTACATGAAAAACTTTTAAAAAAATAATGTAATTGATTTTCTAACATACTCCTTGTCGCTTTCTTGAGTATCTTTGTTACACAATTTAGTTTCTTTCATTCACATAAAATATTAAAAATCCATTGTATGCATTTATAGTAGTGTTAAAGAATGAATGTCCTGTTGTATGTAATAAATTAGATTTATAAGATAAATTAATGGTAAATTGCAAAATTGGCAAATGTGTTTTTAGTATATAAATGCAAGCTTTGTTATATGTATGAAATATAATAAACTATTATTTGTGCTAAAAATGATGTTTCATTTTACCTTATTGTTACATTTTTATTTTCAGTTACCTTTTGTTTGTGACCTTTTTATGGATTAAGGAGATAAAAATAGCATTTAGAATTTTAGAACAATACTATAGGGATCTTCAACCCTGGTCTAAGCCATTTAAAATGGCTAGTTGATATATTAGGGTTATGGGTGAAACGAACTGACTAGTTACTTCGCAAGTTTTACGTTTTTATTAAAAATATATTAAATTTAAATTTCACGTTATAGCAACTTAAGCATTAAAGTTTAAAAGCAAAACCGCCATATTTTGAATTACTAAACTATCAACACTTACCTTTTTGAACAAATAAAAATAACGCCATCTAGTAATAACACCTCTAACTAACAAAAAGTCAATTGCTGCATTGAATTTAATTGCAAGTCCAAGTAAAAATGTAGTCCTAGTTTAACAATCTGACCAAAGAGGGCGCTAAAATTTAATGCTGTTGTTATTGCCATATTAAATTGTTTTACATAAAAATAAGTAAAATTGCCTAAAAATTAAAAATCCGTGTGTACGGGTGTTACTAATCGATTTCTTATTAGTTACGATAAGGGACTTCACATTTAAATATTATGTAAATTTATCAAAAAAATTTAATTATTCTAAAATATATTTTATTATTATTTGTTGTACAAGCGTGTCATTAAACCTAATTAAAGCGTGTTTTGAGTAAAAGTCCTCGATTCAGTCTTTAAATTTTATGAGTTAAATTAGTTTTTATTTATTTTGGAGATCTGTTCAATTTTAAAATTTACAGCCACTATACGCCCTATCAGGCTTTTTATTTCAGTAAATTTATTTATTTAAATTTAATAAAATAAAACTATGAAAAAGAAATTAAATAATATTTTTACTATTTAATTAGGGGCAAATATAGAGTTATGGTAACACTACCAAACAACTACGCTTGCTCGTATCGTACGATTCGTCTCATTCATTTCATTCGGCCGGAAAAAGCGGTCTAGAGGTGATGTGTGTTGTATACGCCTCTTATGGCGGGATGTCGTAAATATGAAAAGTTTTCGTAAAACTTTTACATTACTTTTAAATGAACGAAAAGTGTCATCTTTTAACTGAAACTTAACAAATATTATATTTACAACTTGAAATACCACAGTTGAGTGAAAGTTCACCGGTCAGGATGTCGGTTAATTCAAAGTGGCGGTTACCTGACGTTTTTTGTGTTGTGTGTTGAATGGATGACGGAATTACGTTTAATTCGCAGCGCGGGAATGGGTGAATAAGTGATTCGTGCCTTAGGACTATCGAGATGCCGTTCGTGCAACGCGTGGTCGAGCCGAAGTTTCTGTCGCGGACCAGTTTGCGTGATGAAGATGGAAGGCCGAAGGTCACGGACGAAGAACTGCAGGCGGTTACGAACTGTACCCTGAGCAACGCGCTTCGACAGCTCGCATCACTAGTGCTTTTGGCGGAAGATATCTTTAGCGATCTCACATCTCAACTTCAAGAAATAACAGAACGCTCGAAAGTTGCGCGGGCGAAAATCGAAAAAATCAACGAAAGTGTAGAGAAGTATGACCCGAAGAAGGTACCAGTCCGTAAGTAAAGCTTTATTTCTTTAATAGCCATACATGCTTACGGTATATCGATAAAGTGGCAATGGAATTTACAAACATTTACGTTGTGAACTGGCGTTGGGCGTTGGGCCCTTTAAAACTTACGGTATGCTTATTAGCATAACACATTAGCTGACCTTGTCTTCTCTTTCACGTTGAACAAACTTTATCTTTTGATTATTTTTTCTCAGACGAATCAGACCTTTTTGTTTATTTACTGATTTTTTTTATTTATATTTACTATTTTACCGAATTTTGTAAGTTCTGTCTCGTTAGAAGCTAGTGGCAACAGTTACCTGTTATTTACCAGGTGATTTTATCTGTTTTACGATAGATTTTTCTAGATCGTATATTTAGTTGAACTGTGAATAACTTTATACGATAACCTAAACATACTTGCCTAATTATTTGTTTAATTAGATCAATAATAATGAAAATTGATGTCAGTCCAAACAAAATTCATGAATGAAACGAAACTAGGTGGACGTCGCAATTAATTTGATACTGTTATCTTCGTCTTGATAACTTCGCCTAAATAATGAACAATGCAGATTATACCAAACTTATTTATTGTAGCAATAATCATTGTACGTAATAAAATTTGTTAGAATTTTTTCTTTTCTTGTCTTTCCTAGAGATGGAGAGACAATTAATTGATATTGAAATATATTTTCCTTATTCATTCAAATAATACGACATAATATATTCATTTGTAATTAATTTAGCTTTATCTATTGTCCTATCTATGCAAGAGCTTATAAAAATAGTCGAATTTTACGCTATACCTATATAGCGGATTCCTATAGCAGTCTCTAAAATGACAACTTTAAAAAATAAATATTTTCTTCTTAACAAAATTTAGTCTCCACAAACCAACATTATTTTTTTAAATTGACCTTTTAATGCCAAGGAGCTTTTGATACAAGTTATTTAATTATTTAGTCAGAAATAAAAACAAAATCTTTTTTATATCAAGTACCTACGTGTATTGCGCCTTGGAATTCTGTCAAATTTTAAAACGAAAAAAAATATTTTAGTCTGTTTGTTATATTGCATATACAAACGAGATATTATGGTGTAAATAATATGGATACGATATATCACACGACGATAGACAGATAACACTTACAAAATCAAATAAAATTATTAATCTAAGACGAATTCACTCTACGCTTATGTACATACATCGTTTTTTACTCATGGCTTTTGTGTAATGTTAAATCTTACCTTTATCTAATCTCAACCAATCTAACTACACGAGAAATTGATAGCTTGTAGATATCGATTTTTACTTGTTTGTTTATCGATTATCACACGACTCGGGATGTCATCCGAGTACTGGTCATCAAGTCGATATGTTTACTGTTATAACGTGAACCGCAATGTGCCTTAAGCGCGCTATTATATTAATCTCGGTATAAAGAAGCGTCGGGGCTGGCTCATTGAATTAAACTCATTACATCCTCCTTGAATGTGCCGCCTTTACAAAAACATTCCCGGCTGATTCATTACAGAGCGTTATCTAAAAACCTGTTTGGGCGTTCGTTCGGACCCGCAATGGGAAAAAACATCCAGATTCCAATGCGGACCATAAAAACGTCTCGGCCCGAGATAATTTCAAGCGCGGCCGTGTCTCAAGCGTTCCAAACACCAAGTCCCATCCGCCCGATTTAGGGTTACCAACTCGAGCAAATAATAATGCTGTAAAACTTCAGGGCCTCCGCCACAAATTTTGTTAAACCTGAAAGACGAAAAAATGTAGGTCCGTAAATGGAGACATATAGGTATGTTATCTTAATAAAGGTTAATCAACTGCCAGTGTAGAAGTAAAGTCATCATTTCAAATCTTAGAAGTTTAGAAAATTTTGTACATTTAAAGTCTAAGTCTTTGTAACTTTTAAGAAAGTAAGGGATACGATGTTTGTCGGTAAATTATATATTTATATTGATTTTAAAAAAGTTTTGGCAACCCTGATATAATCTTTAAATACCTAAAACCCATGATTACAAAACTAATCTTTTAGTTTAAACTGTCCATTTAGAATTGTGCGTTAAAGGTCATCGTGACCGCAACATTCACTTGACTGATGACATTGTTTTTTATTTAAGATTATAATAAAAGTAATTATGTGATCAAAGACCTATTAGGGATAATTGCTTCAAAACAACCTCTCAGTTACCGTACTACCTAATCTTATATTGTATGAAAATTACTTTAAAAACTGTCACATCGTCCAACCGTCACACCGTCCCGATAGTTCTATGTATATAATCAGTAGCCATATTCAGAAGTCCAGTAGCAACAGTATTCTACAACACAATAAACTCTAAATCTGTTAGACATACAGAGTTGTTAGAGAGAGATGTTAGACATAACAGAGTTAGAGTTTAGTGTGTTGTAGAATCTTCTTCTTCTAGTGGCTCTTCAGTCTTGAAGGTTGGCCGCTAACTTGGAATATTTGGTTCTGTCAAGCGCTAGGCGACCTAATCCCCGTCCACTCCCTAATATTACGTTGTAAAATACAAAACACTTATTAATCTCATATCTAACTAATATTATAAATGCGAATATTTAGATAGTTAGATGGATGTTTGTTAGAAGGTATCTTCAGAACAGCTGTATGGAGAGATACGGAGATGTAGAACATAGTCTGGAACAACACAGACTACTCATTAAGATTATTTTTATAATAATTCCGGACGGAGTCCTGGGCGACAGCTAGTACATAATAAAAATGGTCTCACACTGAACGTGAGAAAATGCAGTCGGTTAGTTTAGTTTACATTGGTAGTTATGTATTGTGCTTTAGCGAAATCTGCATCGATATAAGGAGATATCAGTTCTCAGTTATTATGTAGCCGATTTATGATTCGTGTTATGTAATACACGATATATAAGGTAAATAAAGTCACCGCTTGAATTCTATCAATAAAGTTCGCCGAATCGACTCCGCAATACTCAATTGACCTCAATTATTGTCTCATGGATATACCGATGAATATTGGCGGGAAATGTCCTAAGTTTTTGATACTTTTTCCCGCCGAAAATGGTTTATCCTCAAAATGTAATTCTATCCGTCGGTTGTCATCAGTCAGTTTGAGAATATTTTATCAAAATTAACTTTAACTGTAAGCTGATCCATTGAGCATTTTTACATTTTCATTAAATTCTTGACCATATTAGGATGTTTAAGACGAAGAAATCTTTCTACCGTCTAAATTTATCGACCACTTAAAAGCACTTCAGATTATCAGTCCATAATAAATTCTAATTAAGCCATCGAACATTAAGATGCAATTAAATATTGTGATAAAATCTAATTAACCTGTCTTACAAACTAATGCTATAAAAAAATTAACATAAACACTAATAATTGCATACCCAAAACTCTGCATTAGTTTACGTAAGTATGCGATTGATGGACAACTACCAATAAACGTAAAAATCATTGTCTTTTTGTAAGGATAATAGAACGAAGGAAGGAAACGAGGATCACCATACGTATAAGTTGAAATACGGAACTAAAATAAACTTTTACTTAACGCCCATAATCCAGAAGATAATGTTGCAGTATTCATGACTTACTTGGCTTTCATTTTGAAATTCACTAAATACATACTAAATAACATAAATCATTATACCGAGTGGGATAAATGCTTGATGAATGGTGCATTATCAACAGGCCACAGACATGGAGTAAGTAGATATCGTTAATCCGATTTGCCGTCTGGCACGGACAGAACCTGTAGCTGTGAATTAGTAAGAAGGCAATTTGTACTTGTCTCAGTCGATTACGCAACACTACAGGGTCACTGACCGATTGTAGGCAGGTTATCAGTTTTCTTTGTGGCGAATAAATTGTATCATGACCTATTCAGATTTTTAATAGTAATATATTGGATGCCGTGATATATTTATTGCTATTGTAATGTTTGGTTAAGAACGAAATACATTTTTTAACAACACAAATACATGAGAAAAAATACACAGCACAGGTTTATAACAAGAATTAAAGGAAAAGTGTGGCAAAAGAAGCCAGCTCAGCGTATGACAGTCCCTGTGCTGGTTTTCAGTTGACTCCCTCAAATTTGATATATAAAAGAATTAAAGTTTGCTATTGCAGTGGTAATTGTAAAAAATAACGTATTAAATGTAAAAAAAAATCCATACTAAACGTGTGTATCGAAATACGTAATGTGTTTTCTCATCTCTGGATCTAAAAACAATAAGGCAATTATATTATGACAAACAATATAATTTTTATTAAAAACAAATTGTTCCTGAAAACGAATCAAGGTGTGACATTGAACAATGCCTGACTAAGCCAAAGGACAGTCACTTTGTTAGCGTTTAATGGCTCTACAAAGCACGGCCTCGGAAATGGGTCATTCTATGTAGCGAGAGGATGAGCCGCTTCGAATATTTATTACGATATTAAAATAGTTTCGGCGGTCACGCTTCGCATATTCCTGATGAGGAAACATAATAAACCTACCTGTGGTTATACATTGTTTTTTGATATATTTTATTTTAGCTTGGTTAGGCAATAAAGCCTTTTTCACTGGCAGTGGTCGCCAAATAATATTATAAAAATTAAAACTAACGAATCTAATTCTATGATTTACGTGTATTTTAAATTAATTAGTACAAGAATATATTTAAAATGCAAAAAAATACGTATTGTGATGCAAAGCTACTACGTGCAATAAATGGGTGCTTAGAATTAAACGAAGTTTGTGAATAACAAAGAATGCATAATTCCTTCAGACTTAGATTTCCCATAGCTATGTACCGGCGGGCTAGTCAAGGTCCGTTCAACTTTTAACAGCACTGCTGTCTTGTAAACCTATTATTATTTATGTTAGTAATAACTTTGTAGCGAGACTAACTTTACACGAGAATGGAATGCGATTTATTTTTGGTGTAACTTTTTAAACTTAACGATAACGTGTTAAAATTATATCAGAAACGGTGGTTATAT